CCCCTTTTTTCGGACTCACAAAATCGTGGTGGTAGGAAGAAGTCTCACAAGGAGGCTTCCGACGTGTAGTGCCCTTTAGCGGTCAGGAAATCCCGTTATAGAAACATGGGAGGTTCCAATTCAAGGGCAGACGTAGGTTTCCCGGTTGAAAGCTTGGTCGGGCCTGGGACAGGAATCAGCTTCCTGTCCAGGCCGGGATGAAGAAGAAACGATTAAAGGAATTATGTAAGAAATGGGCTTTGCTTAAAGATGAAAATGGAAGACAAATTTGGCCCGATGGTGGTACTCTAGAAACCAAAACACTAAAAGCACTTAGGTCAAGGATAGAACCAACCCAACTACCCTACTGGTATTGCTGGGCTGAACTATCCAGACAGAGAAACCCGGTTCAAGTCGCCTTGAACCCCCAGTCTCCCTTAGATCACCCTGAACCAACCTTCATGGCCCCCTTGTTGAACAGGCCCATACCCGGGCGACCGAGGGGCCAGACAGGACACATTTTAACCCACACCCCTTTCTCCCCGTCCGATTTGGTTGTTTGGAAAAAGGATACTGCCACCTTTCGTGCGGATCCTCAAACCGTTATAGAGACCATAAAGTCTATTGTAGACACTCACAATTGGATTTTGCTGCTTCTGGTCTTTCCTAGCCGCAGAAAGGATCTGTTTAATTGGCAGAACCTGGAAAGCATGGGGGTTGGCCAGAGCACAGAACCTTTTGTTAGGGAAAAGGGAGAGAATGTGTGAAAATGAAATGGAATGAGTGAATGAAATAATTGGATTTGGGCAACTAGCTGGTAAGGCCCTGTAAGCAATGCAAAGTTAGGAAAGAAGTCTCACAAGGAGACTTCAACTGTGTAGTGTATGAAAGAAAGATAGACTTTGCTTAGGGCCTTGCTGGGAAACCAATTTGGCTAAATAAAGGTACTTAAAAGGGAAAATAAGAAATAGTGATTCTCTATCTCTCTCTCTCTCTCCTCTATGCAACCACGTGGTATGTTTAAAATGTGTGCCTTCCGCAACTTGAGTTATCTGAAATTTATGGTGGGAATGACTAGGATGTGTAAAACTAAGACTTCTGTTCTCTTTTCTTTATCTATATATATGTTTGTCAAAGTCTGTGCGTGAGAGGTATGACTGTTAACTGTTTCAAATCCAAAGAAAAAAGAATTTTAAATTCTACTAGAAATTATGCTTAAAAATAAGCCACAAAAAGGAAATACCTCACTCTGTTTGTCTGGCCAACAAACAGAGTGAAGGAAAAAAATTTGTGTTTGTTTGTTTGTTTGTTTTCCTCTTTCTCTCTGTGTACGCTCAAGAACAGCCTTAAGTTACTAGGAGGGATTGTTTTAAGTTTATCAGTTGGAAAAGTTTCACTTGCATTTACTGTATGTGTTTTATCTATCTATCCTTTTCCTGAAAAATGTGTGTCTATTTACAAGAGCATTTTGAAGTTCAAGTCTGATTGTGTGGGGAAATAATTTTCTTAAGTTACTTTTCTTATCCTATCACTTACTAGTGAAACTACTATGAAGCTTTCTGAAACATAAGCATTTCTCAATCTCTAAAATGATGTGGTCTATTTTAGAATAAATGTTCTCCTACCTCTGGAAAGTTGCACACCTTAAAATATTAGGCTTTAAAATTATTTGGAGTTTTCAGCATTCTCAAGCTGCCTAGCATTTTTTTTTCTCCTCTTCCTTTCAAGTTGCAAGTTTTGTCCATAATATGTTGCAAATGGTCAAGTTCAAAGGTGAAACATTTCATTTTGTTGTTCCCCATTTGTCTATGTTTAATAACTGCAGTATTAGTGCCCTTTTCAAACTGCCTGCAAGCTACCCCCCTTCCAATTCTTTTCCTATCCTTTGTTCTCCATACCTTTTGTCTTCCTCTCCTGGGAGAGTCCATCCAGAAAGGGGGGAGACCTTGTTCTTGTATCTTTCAGTCCTGAAACCCTCTCCCAAGCCTTTGGAAGCAGAACACACAGACCCAGATGCTGCCTCCATCCATTTGAGCCATGGAATTGAGTTTTGAATCCAGCCATCCACTAAAAAGCCACCATGCAATCTGAGTGGAACATCTTCCCAAGTCCTACCATTTCCCCAGATGCCTGAGAGAGCTGCAGAAGGAAGGATTCCTGGTGCCATGTGAAGCCTCAGAAGAGAGAATTAGACTGTGGGGGGAGGGCGGAAACTCATTGTAAACTTTTCTTTCTTGCCCCATTTGTATTGTAACAAGCCAGTTGAATGTATTAGTGGAGAGATGGCATTTAGGAATAGGTGGCAGAACAAGTATTGAACACCTTGGACTTCTATGGTGGGAGGGAAAATTTATCCAGAATGTTTGTATTGACTATTTTGTAAAAGTAGCTGCACATACATGCACACACACACAGACACCATTCAGAATCACACTTGAGTCTATCCCCTCCACCTACCTTTAGTAAAGTTCCTCAGGCTGATTTTTGCTCTATTGCACCAAAGCTTTGTGGGACCAACTTCCAACAGATTCCAAGGGGGAGGGAACTAGGTCCCCTCAGGTGAATTTGCAATTCATATGCCCTGACTAAGGAAGCAACAGGAAAGATCCTAAACTTCAGCCCTGAATATCTTGCACTGTTGAGCTCAGATTGGGATTCCTAGAACTCATTATGTGCAATTTAAAGAAAATTTAATAGCCTGGCAGTTGGGCATTACAAACCTGGATGCACTGAATTAAGAGCTAAGGCAGGAAACAACCCTTGAAACTGGGCAGCCAGTGGTCATGTACTAAGGAGAACCATGGCTGTGAAGAATTTTGGGGGGTATGCAAACCTGACTGGAAGCTAAAGGTGACATCCAACATTTAAGAAAACTAGCACAAAACATTGGGCACAACCAGTCATCCTGGAACCTTTCCTGGCTCTTTTCATAGTTACCAGACTTCCATTGGTTGAAAATTCTCATTGTTAGTATAATCACAGTCGCAATAGGTGGAGCCCTCCTTTGCTGCCTATGCCAATTAGCACCTTTAGGGTTAAAATGCCTAAAGGTCTGCACAACTCCCATCAGAAGCAAGGGACAGAGCAAGAAAACATCTCTCATGATGTGCCAAATTGATCACCACTACCATATATATGAACCAGTTGGGCTAATCACTGATACATCAGTAATAGCCCAAAATGGGGGAATTGATGAGAGTTGGACACCCCCTCCCCAGCCCAACTAAGAAATAATCTAGGAACACCCCAACTAAACTGGGTCAACAGCAGCTTGAGGCTAAAACAGCAAACACTTGACACACACAATGAGGAATCAGCTAGCAGCAATCAGGACACAACAATAAAAGTAATTAACACCTTTTAGGCAAGAAAAAGGAACTAACAATAGTCACAAACCAGCAAATCAAGAAAGACAAATTTTAACTCACCAATTAGAAATGGTAAGTTTGTTACCAATCAGAAATGACAAGTTTGGAACCCACAAAAGGGTATAAAAACCCCTGTTTAAAGATCACTCTGTCTAGCTAGCCGGGGACTCGAGCTGAATTGTCACTCAACACTGATCCTCGAAATTAAACCTCTTTCTGGTAGCTGGCTTCACGATCTATTTCTTCTGCGCCGCACCGTCAAGGGGAATCCCGGCTGGAAAGACCGAACGGGGGAGTTCCTCCCAACATTAGGAACTGGGCACAAAGAGCTCTATTACTAGAATTTTCTGACTTTCTTAAGATGGATATACTAAAGGAGGAGTTCTGGAAGATGTTGGAATATGAAAAATGTATAAAGGGAATATAGACAAGCAAGAAAAGAACTGAAGGTTATCACCAAATATGTTTTTAATCAGCTATAATGTAAACAGTAAAAAGTATATGTTATTCTTGGTTTATGTTTTGCATAGAAACATAATTGTTCAATGGAGAACTTGAGGAAGGATATACAAAACTATTAGAGAAGAAGTACCGTAAATGCCGGCGTATAAGATGACTTCCGTGAGCGCTGAAATTGGCGCCAAAGACGGGGGTCGTCTTATACGCCGAGTCGTCTTATACGCCGGAAATACTGGTAGTTTCTGGCGTATAAGACGACGTTCTAGGAATGCGGCCCGGCTATAAAGACGGAGGTCGTCTTATACGCCGGGTCGCCTTGTACGCCGGCATTTACGGTACCTATATGACAGAACATATGTGATAGCTTATGAGAAAAGGGGAAACATTTAGTGCATGCTAATATAAATATACATATGTATTTTATACAAATATTCACATACATGCATATACATACTGTATACAAATGCAGACAAGCAATGTTATATTCTTCAAGAATAACTCCACCTATCATTTATTTTACAATTAAAAGACATGTCTGTCTGTCTGTTTATCTATCTCAAGGCTGTGTATAGAAAAATGTGTTATCAAAGTAATTCGATCCTCTCAAAGATTTTGTGCAGCCACCCTGAGGGATTTCCTCACCTATGCAATGTATCTTTCACTGAACAGCAAATCCTGGTTGAGTATTATTTCATTAGCACTGTGCACAGAGAACCCCAGAAGCAACCATGCCAACATGACCATATCATTTTTTAAATATATTTTATTAATTTTTATAATAGCAATCTTTAGTGCTTAGTGAACAATGTGTTGCCTGGGTTCATATATTTAAAAACAATCAATAATAATTAATTTCTATAATTGATCAATATGTTACTTGATAATATATTTCCTTAATCCTCTGTTATTTCAGTAATATTCTCCTTTTGTCTACATTAAACAAATATAATTCTTAATACTTTCAATACATACAGAGTTGGGTATAATCATTTTTCTAGTATTTGTACATATAACAATAACATCAACATATAACATCTTTTCTAATCAGCTTATTTTTCAATTGTATTTATAGAAGTCATCTTATAAAATCATCATTATACGTCCTGTTTTCAAAATTCTTATTTAAGCTTAATTTCCACTCAGTATTGAAACCACTCTTATCAGTCATAATTTTCTCAAAATTCATTATCTTTGAATATCCAAACTTTTTATTCAATTACACCATCTCAATATTTGTACATTTCATATATTATAAAAGTATTATACTACTTATATATCTTATCCCACTTACTATAAGGCCCGTTTATGTCCAAGCTTTGTCTATTCTTTTAACAATGTTCAACCAATTATTTAATCATATAGTACACCATCTAACAATCTTACTATACGACCTCTTTATAGCCAAACTTTATATTTTTTAACCATATTCAAACAAGTATTTAATCATATAGTATTCCATTTGGTAAGTTGAATCACATCTCTTAAATCTAATTCTAATCTTCTTTTGCCAGGTCGCTTTCCAAATCAGTAGGTTTAGCTTGACAGGTTGTATTTTTGTAGATTAAAAAAAAAACAAATTAAGTAGAATATTCGGTTTTTGTCTCCCACGCTTTAATGATTCTCCTGGCAGCTCTTTAATTCATTTTATTAAATCTTTTTTGTCCTCAAGTTTGTTTTGTTTGTTTACCTGGAAGGTAAAACATCTTTTTTATTTCCTTTGTTCTAGCATAATTTTGTGGATTTTCTTTTGTTTGTATTAAGTTGTAGTTCTCTTCATTTGTAGCTTCCATATTTAAGTTATTTTCCTCTGATTTGTATCTATTGTCTGATTTATTTGTTCATTCTTTATCATCATTTTTTGAGTGTTGTTTAGTTGTGACTTTAGGTTAGAGATGTGTTCATTTTTGTTATCAAAGTTGTTTTTAATTCCATCATGATTTAAGACAATTGTCATTTGAATCTGTTGCAGCATTGCATATATTTTCTCCTGGAATGTATTTGCTTTATCTTGAGTCATTTTTCCTGCAGATCTCTGATGTTCCATGCTGGGGTCTTCAGCAGGAGGTATTAGGTGTGATTTTCTATCACTTTTAGATAAATATACAACATCCATTTTGTCTTCCTCCTCTAAGTAGTTTTTCATTGGTACCATAGTCTCTTTAATTAGCTTTATCAAGCCAGCCCATCTTAAATCCAAACAACCAATTCTTGTATAGTTCTTATCTTTATATATGGTTTTTGTAATCCAATATGTTTCCAATTATCAAAGCACCACTGAAAACACTATTTTGTAATAGTTCTTCTTTTCAGGGGTTTTATAATTATCAGCCAGCCAAGATTTCAGTCCAAAGTGTTTAACCACCTAAAAGCTTTCCAATAACTTTCCCTTCAGAAGATTAACCAAAGGCCAAGGTTTTTCTTTCTCTGCAAACAGTTCTTAAACTTAAAAATGCAGCTCAGTGTATTTATAATCCCAGAAAGTCAACAGTTTCTAAACATATATAATTTTACTCTGTAGTAGATAGCTCAATGCTTTGTTCCCAGCTGTTTTTTGCTTATTTCTGGGCTTGCCAAATTCTGAGTCACTGCAACTATAGGTATCAGTAGCTGTTCATTTTCCAGCTTTTAAAGGGAAGAGTTGTTATTATTATTATTATTTATAATTTCATCATTACTTTTTCAGGTATGGAATTTTAACAATTTTCTTAGTTTTCAAATTTATCCAGACTGTAATATTTTTAACCTCATTTCAATATATTTTTGTTCCCTGTAAGAGTTTAATTCACTGCTTCCGTCTATGGGTCGGTGGGGGTGTAGTCCCCTCCCTTCTCACTTTGGGAGGATTTTTGCTTCTTGGGAATCTTTTCCAGGAAATACAAAATAGGAGAAAGAAGATCGAATTTTTCATTTAGTTTCAAGCACATTGTTCACCATTGTTCTGGTTAGTGCCTTTGGACTTCGGCTGCAAGTAGCTTGGGCTGGTCACCGAGATGTGGCCAGCCTTTCTCCTGTCAGGTTAGAGGGCTTCCCCCGGATCAAGCAAGATGACTGCCATTGTTCCGTGATGATCGGGGCATCCCTCTTTCTTCATCTCCTCTCTGGGGTGACTTTAGACCCATTTAGGGTCCCCTGGCAGGGCAAAACTAGCTGTGGGGTGTGGAGCTCCACAATTCTGTGGCCATGCGCTAAGGTACAAAACTGGAAGTCCAATGTGACCATATCATTTTGCTTATGTTGCCATGACTGAAGTCTCCCTATGAAGACTCCATACTGTTTTCCTATATATTTCTTAACACTACATAAAAACAGTAATTTCATCTTGGAATTTCATTAACTGATAAATCTCATTATCTCAAATTTTCATAATTAATATTGTGAAGCAGATACTATAGCTCCTATACTACAAACTTGCAGTTTTATGAATACAGGTAGTCCTGTACTAAGTGAAACATCTGTTAAGTGCATTTTGCCCTATTTTATGACCTTTCTTGCTATAGTTGTTAAGTGAATCATTACAGTTGTTAAGTTGTTCGCTTACATGTAAGCTTACATGTAAGTTCGCTTACATGGTTGTTAAGCGAATCTGATTTCCTCATTGACTCTGCTCGTCAGAAGGTTGCAAAAGGTGATTTACATATCTCCACAACACTGCAACCGTCAAAAATATGAGTCAGTTGCCAAGTGTCTGAATTTT